CCGGGGAGGATTTTACTGGGCGCAATTCCTTAACTGTAGCCTCTGTTTAACGCAACAGTAAAATGTGTACTTGGATGAAAAAACGATTCGTCGCGGCAGGGGATCGTATTCCAGGGACCATAGGATTAAGGACTTGCCCGAAACGCTACGCGTACTAGTGGCTGTACAAGAATGTAACAACTCTTGTATATATCTCAAAAAAAAAAAAAAAAAAAAAAATTGCACCAGAGGTGGATATTTGTATCCTCGTGTTCCATGCCGGAGCGGTCCGGGACTGGCTTCGGCCTAAAGTCGATTGTGCTTAGCTATAGTGTTTTATTTTATCTTTGTAATAAATTATCGATAGGAATTGTATCAAGAAACGAACCACAGCGAGGCGCTGCTCTCTCACTACTCCTACTGGCTTAGCGCTCTCCAATGATAGTTATCTTAAGTTAGCCAATCTCAGAACGTCTTTGCATATTTGAAATGTACACAATTTGTTATTTTTTTTATGTTAAAAGAAGTCCAAGTTTGGTACTACTGACATAATAGTACTAAACTATGGACTTATTTTGGTGGCAACATGTTTCGTGCATCCCATGCAGAGTATCTATGGATACTGTCATTTATGGAGGGCAGACTGGTTATATGGAGTGAAGCCGTGTTAGCTGCTCTGCGTGAGAGGAGACTAGAGGGGACTTACCTGCACACCTCTGCTGTCTGCTCACACCCGCAGGTATAGGCAGCTCGCAACGCTGCTGCAGGTGTGTGTGTATGGCTATCCACTCTCACACTAATCTATAACTGAATGGAATTTGACAGGTGTGTGTGTGTGTGTGTGTGTGTGTGGGTGTGTGGTGTGTGTGTGTGTGTGTGTGTGTGGTGTGCGGTGTGGTGCGTGCGTGTGTTGTTTGCGTGCGTGCGTGCGTGCATGTGTGTGTGTGCGTGCGTGCGTGTATTTACAATTTCTGTCTGCAGAATCGAGTTAATAGCTCTTGGATCCCGCCTTTCTAACCAATCTATTTTTCCTCAATTATATCTACTGCATACATTTCTAACACCCTCCCCCCCCTCCCCCAGGAAGCAACCCGTAACAACTGTCTAACTCCCAGGCCAAGAAAATGGGTGAAAGAAACTCTGCCCATTTGTTTTCGCTTCCAACCGGAAATCGAACCCGGCCCATTTGGACTACGACCCCTGAACGCTGTCCACTCAGCCGCGAGGCCCCCCCCTCGCTGCACTGGGCTGTGTGGCCAGGCTGTCCACACCATACTGTGTGTGTGTGTGAGAGAACAAGCACAGCAGGGACAGCAGTAACTAGCCCGTAGGCCTATATCATCACCCCCACAGGCTCGGGGGTGTACTCATTTGCGGTTGTGTAATCAATACACAAAGGCTCATCGTATGCCTATCCGCCACTCCCGTATGCCTATCCGCGACTCTCGTCTGCATCTCTCTCTCTCTCTCTCCCTTCTCCTCCATATAGAAATCTTCTACTGTATTTGTATGGTGCTTCCAGGCCTCATCGTGTCTTTGTTCCTTTGTTCATTGTCAGCAGATTTGCGTGTGTGTGTGTGTGTGTGTGTGTGTGTGTGTGTGTGTGTGTGTGTGTGTGTGTGTGTGTGTGTATTTTACTATTTGTGTCTGCAGAATCGAGGTATTAGCTCGCGGACCCCGCCTTTCTAACCAATCTATTTTTCCTCTGTTATATATCTACTAATCTACTAAATATATTTCTTCTACATGTATTACACACGCACGCACGCAAACACACACACTCACTCACTCACACACACACACACACACACACACACACACACACACACACACACACACACACACACACACACACAGTGCTTTGAACTCGTAATCCTAGGGTCCTGGTTCGATCCACGGTGATGGCTGAAACAAATGGGAAGTTTCTTTCACCCTGATGTCCCTGTTACCTAGCAGTAAATAGGTACCTGGGAGTTAGTCAGCTCAATCAATCGGTGAACAGATTTCGCAGCCTATTGGGCTCAGGAATTGGGATGTGTGCTTTAAGAGTTATAATGATATGTACTTTACAGGTTACAATGATGTGTGCTTTGCAGGTTATAATGATGAGTGCTTAAAGGTTACAATGAAATGCACTTTCCAGGTTACAATGATATGTGCTTTAAGCGTTACAATGATACATTTTGTAACACAGTGCAGAAAGGACACCAGGGCAGGGCCGGGTCCTCCCACACTGTATCTCGGAAACCTGCCAGTGGCACCCCAAGCAGTGCCAGTGGCACCTCAAGCTTTGCCAGTGGCACCCCAAGCAGTGCCAGTGGCACCTCAAGCTTTGCCAGTGGCACCCCAAGCTTTGCCAGTGGCACCCCAAGCTTTGCCAGTGGCACCCCAAGCTTTGCCAGTGGCACCCAAGTTTTGCCAGTGGCACCTCAAGCTTTGCCAGTGGCACCTCAAGCTTTGCCAGTGGCACTCAAGCTTTGCCAGTGGCACCTCAAGCTTTGCCAGTAGCACCTCCAAGCTTTGCCAGTGGCACCTCAAGCAGTGCCAGTGGCACCCCAAGCAGTGCCAGTGGCACCTCAAGCTTTGCCTAAGTTTAGGTTCAATTGCTTCGGCAGGGCAACCCACGTGGAAGCTAAACCTTATTACTTGCAGCCTCCACTGTGTCAGGCGGGATAGTGTAAGGAGGAACAAGTGCGAACGACACGGTGAGGACCAATCAGCGTTTGCCATGGGAGAAGCAGGACAACTCTCAAAACAGACTACAGGTAAACTAGAGGTAAACCCCCCCTCCCTTACAATTTACGCTCAAACTACCCCATCTGGCTCGTAAAATACTCCCCCCGAAGTGTCCGTAAAGTTACAATTTGGGGCTGCAGGGCAATCAATCTAAAGTCTCAGGTAAAAGAACAAGTCCCCCCGACGAGAAACAAGGAAGCATCGGCACCAGTAGCGGAGGATCATTTGTTGCTCCAGATCTCCCGCCATAATTGAGCGCCGCGCAGCGAGGGAGAACACTCCTCCTCATCTATCACACAAACCTCCCAAAGTCTCACTTTAAAATCGATTCGCCTCACTGTAAACGATACGGCTTCTAGGAATAATTATAGACGACGGAATCTCCAGGTGCAGCGGAGGGAAATGAATCGCGCTGCAAGGATTCGTCCTGAAGAAGGGGGGGCGTTGGGGAGCAGAGAGGAGGAGGGGGATCTAATCCCTTATATACAGTGTCAAGCAGCCTGGTTGGCGGGGCGAGGCATCCTGCACAGTCACGCCGGTCGCACTCCTCACACTCACAGGCTGTAATCTTCATGTAAATTATGAGTGTTTGTTGGATCGGCCGGCTCCTCCTGCTGTTATTGCTTCGAAGACGGACAGTGAGAGGGAAGGGAGAGGGAAGGGAGAGAGAGAGGGACCACTCCACAACATTCTCAGCCTGTGTTATAAGTTATAAGTAACTCTGGCAACCGTTATTGTTCACAGTCATGTTCATTGCATGCCGCTTCCTGCAGTGTGTGTGTGTGTGTGTGTGTGTGTGTGTGTGTGTGTGTGTGTGTGTGTGTGTGTGTGTGGTGTGTTGGTGTGTGTGTGTGTGTGTGGTGTGTGTGTGTGTGTGGGTGTGTGTGTGTGTGTGGGTGTGTGTGTGTGTGTTTTGTGTGTGTGTGTGTGTCAAGACAAAATTTATGATCAACGTTTCAACGCATAACAGAAGCTACAGAGTTAAGAGAGAGGGCCGCACTTACCTCTGGTTGTCGGCGAGCTCATACGGTCTCTGTCCATTTTTCGAAGCGGATCAGCTGCAAAGAGGGAAAAATAGATAAACAATTAGCTGTCACTCACACCAGCCCACAACCACTTCCCGAAAAACAAACCTACACAAAACCTGTCTAAAGGCTTAACAAATGAATAATAACCCGGAGAGTCTTTGAGCCGAAAAAGCCACACACACACACACACGCACACAACACACACACACACACACACACACACACACACACACACACACACACACACACATAGTCCGACCACGGGACCGACCACACACACGGGACCAAAGAGCCAAAGCTCAACCCCCGCAAGCACAATTAGGTGAGTACACACACACACACACACACACACACACACACACACACACACATGTACACACCTGCTCCAAGCTAACGCAGGTGTTCTTAACGACCGTGCTTGTTCAACCGGTTCTTTCCGTTTGACACTCCGTATAAAATGCAACTGCTTTGCCCAGCCTGAATCCCCAACCAAACACCCGTGCATAACAAACACCAACATTACGGTGTTTTAATGGTAACTAACACCGTCGTACTGTTAACGGATCGGACCGTAAACAAATGCGACGTATTGACCAAAACCCCCTACACTAGAAAGTGAAGGGACGACGACGTTTCGGTCCGTCCTGGACCATTCTCAAGTCGATTCTCACAATCGACTCGAGAATGGTCCAAGACGGACCGAAACGTCGTCGTCCCTTCACTTTCTAGTGCCAGGTCTGGTCAACATATTTCAGCCACGTTACTGCGACTCCTCGTCTGCAAATGCGACGTATTAGTTAAAAGGACAAGTCGTTTACGCTACCAAGACATAAAGGTCGTACCAGGGAAGGTGACAGCGGCCAGAGATGATCCGAGGTATTGGTATTGGTGACGTCGCTTGACTTTTCAGGTATCGGTAACATTTCATCCGATACTTCGATATATCGGGGTATCTTTTTATTTGCCGCAGGAGGGCACAGTTCTCTCTGTCAGCAAATATCGGTGGCTGAACATCTTTATTTTTTTTTAAGAATATCGGAGCAGCTTTATCAGTTAGTAATACAGTATCGGTCAATGACAGAGTATCTGTCAATAGGACAGTATCATCAAACGAGACAGCATGAATCAACAGGACAGTATCGGCTAAAATACTGGCATCTGTACACATCTAGATATTAAGAGGGAGAGGGAGAGGGAGCCGGCGGCTGAGCGGACAGAATACTGGACGCGTGATCCTGTGGTACCGGGTTCGATTCCGGGCGCCGGCGAGAAACAATGGGCAGAGTTTCTTTTCACCCCTGATGCTCCTGTTACCTAGCAGTAAATGGGTACCTGGGAGTTAGTCAGCTGTCACGGGGTGCTTCCTGGGGGTGGAGGCCTGGTCGAGGACCGGGCCGCGGGGACACTAAAGCCCCGAAATCATCTAAAGATAACCTCAAGCTAATAATGGGCTCTTACAAACTCTAGTCGAGTTGAAGAATGAAGTCTGCCGCTTACAACCAAAACTGGACCTGGGTTCGAGTCCCCCAGTGCACGGAGTTAGATGACTGTTGTGGGTAGTATCCTGGGAGTCATGCACTGACTTCGGTATGCATAGAACCGAAGGCCGAACTGCGAACTTTCAAATTATAATCCTGAGCACGCGTATCTTACCTGTATTTGTTTTGAGGGGTTTTCTACTCTCACAGCCTGGCGGGGGGGGGGGGGGCATACCTTGAGCATACCTAGGACCAGACTTTTATTGTGATAACATGATCGGTAAGGCTGTTGCTTGCAGTAACCTGCATACCCACGTGAGCTGCAGGGACCATCTTTGGTGTACGGGTATACCAGAAAGCTATACCATAATTTTCAATGTATACAGGTAAGTATACTTTAGTCCTGAACAATGCTTAGGTCAAAAGACTACCTTTAAGTTGAGGAGTAGCCTACATGTGGCTTGATTCACCGTCGATAGGCCTATGGCCAACCTAACCTAATCCGGAACAGTAGTCCCCCCAAGGAGGCCTATATGATAGAGCGCAATAGGCTCAGGAACCTGTACAGTAGTTGATTGACGGTTGAGAGGCGGGACCAAAGAGCCAGAGCTCAACCCCCGCAGGCACAACTAGATAAGTACACACACACACTCACGTCGATCCTGCAGGCACAAACAGTAAATACACACAAACACAGCGTACCCGTCCAACTTTTATTCACACCGTCCATAAACAGGTGTTCCGTGAACACCTGTTCAGCCGTGACGTCATGCTTAATTCTCAATGAAAGTTTGCACGCGAAATACCACACTTGTTTCTGAATGGAGGTGTATCCGTGACGTCACACTGATTCCGTGTCGCTAGTTCACCACAATCACCATTACCATTATATATATATATATATATATATATATATATATATATATATATATATATATATATATATATATATATATATATATATGAGAAAGCTGCATGAACGCGCAAGCCATATATCACTAAGAACTCTTTGACCCGGCCAGGATTCGAACCCATGCCGTCCAGGATCATTGGTGCGGTGGTCACGGTACTGTGTACGTTTAGGGGTGATCCTGGACGGCATGGGTTCGAATCCTGGCCGGGTCAAAGAGTTCTTAGTGATATATATATATATATATATATATATATATATATATATATATATATATATATATATATATATATATATATATATATATAGTATATATTTTGGTAGCAGTCTTTCTTGTAAACATATGTTGTTAAATATGACCGAAAAAAGTAAGATTAATAATTCTAACACGAATTTTCTCAATATTTCTTATGTTTCTTTTTACTGTCGATGGTAATTGAAAAATCAATTCTCCAAAATTCATTTTTATTTCTAGTCTGACGCGACGCTTGAACGCGTTTCGTAATAACTTATTACATTTTCAAAGACTTTAGTTTACACACACACAACTGTAACCTGAAAACACTAAACAGAGTTTTACTTATGCTAACACTAAACAGCTTGTCTTATATACTCGCATTTGGGTGAGGTGATATGTTGCAACAGTTTTGGATGAGGTGAACAAACTTTTGACCAACACAAGACAGAAGACGGAACAATGGGTATTAACTGGATAAATGAGAGGGAAGAATGGAAGTAACTGCAAAGGGCCTATTGGCCCAAATAGCCCATTGGCTCTTGATGCTTCAATATTGGTACGGAGTCTTGAAGTGGGTAGAATATAGTTGTGTACTAATTGGCTGTTGATTGCTGGTGTTGACTTTTTGATGTGTAGTGCCTCGCAGATGTCGAGCCGCCTGCTATCGCTGTATCTATCGATGATTTCTGTGTTATTTGTTAAGACTTCTCTGGTGATGGTCTGGTTGTGGGAAGCCTGTTGCTCCATTAAGGAACATATAATCTCTCTCTCTCTCTCTCTCTCTCTCTCTCTCTCTCTCTCTCTCTCTCTCTCTCTCTCTCTCTCTCTCTCTCTCTCTCTATATATATATATATATATATATATATATATATATATAAAATATTGATAATGCTTACTGGCCCATTATTCAGTCAACCGAATATTCGCTCGTTCAACATTTAATCGACCAACAGGGCATTTATCCGGTCTAGTGGCCCCATATATGCCAAACACGCCTCTGATAAGGCCTATCGGCCTATTAGCTGGCTAACCGCCCATTATGACGCCAAACGCTAGGCTTGGCAACCATTTATTAAGACTATCGGACACGTCAATTTGCTAATCAACTGTATGTTTGAGAAAATGGTCTTTTACCAGACACAGAAACCATTTAACCAACGGACTATGCAGTCAAACACCTAATGATTAAATTAATCGACCAAACTGACCCTTCTGCCAACCAACTGGTCATTGGAGCAGTCACTCAACCATTTTTTTCCGAAAGGACCATTTATCCAACCAACCATTTATTCAGTCAAGCGACCCCTTCTTTCCGGACCATTCCACCATTTAAGTAGCCAACCATTTAACTGGTCATCATCTTCACGTTAACAGCCATAATCATGTCAACAGGTCGTTCGCCCCAATGATAATTTGCAATTGTAATGAGGCAATAATTCATGGATTATATAGCGATTTTTTTTTGTCCGTGGACCAAGTCTGTCAGCTTCCGTACACACGCACGCGCGTGTGTGTATTTACTATTTGCGCGTGCAGCATCGAGCTTTTAGCTCTTGGACCCCGCCTTGCTAACTATCGGTTATCTAAATGTACTGATTCCTGATCTATTTTCCTACTACATATATTTCTCTCTCTCTCTCTCTCTCTCTCTCTCTCTCTCTCTCTCTCTCTCTGGCACAGACACACACACACACATACATACATGATGCATCCCAAAGCCGCTCTTTACCTCCCAGATACCTATTTACTGCTAGGGGAACAGAGGTATAAGGTGAAAGAAACTGTGCCTATTCGTTTCTCCCTCTTCTTGAAATCGAACCAGAGCCGTTTTTACTCTATTGCTCTTTGAATTCTGTTGATGGTGAAATTAAAGAAGCATCGCCCTACCATTCCAGCAATTCTGTGTGTGCGTGCAAGTAACATCATGGCCACATTGCTTTCGAAAGCTTTCGCAAAATTTGTGTATATTATATATCGGCATTGTGTTTGTCCTCCCTGGTGGTTCTAAGGCCAGAGTTGAAAGAGGTAGGTGCATCCAGTCAGCAGGCCGGACAGTCCGCCTGCTTTCATACCTCTCACTGTATTTCCCACTTCTATACTTCCCTTCACCTATGCCTCTCCTTCCTCTTTGCTTCCAAAAAAAAAAAAAACAAGGAACGTCCAGCTATAAACCCCCACGTTGTCTACGGTTGTGTAGACCTTGTCACTCTGGGTCTAGGGACAGGCTAACTCTGGGTCCAGCGGATCAGAGAAATCGACTTGAGAATGGTCCAGGACGGACCGAAACGTCGTCGTCCCTTCAACTTCTAGTGTGTGGTCTGGTCAACAGAGTAGAGCTGGGGGTTGCTGGCGGGGAGAAGGAGGGAGGAAGTGAGGTTAGAGACGGAGTCAAGGAAAGGAGGGG